ATGCAGATTAAATAACTTTGACTCATGCAGAGGAAGGTTACTTTCTTTTTTTTCAATTTAAAACTCAATTTTATTTTTTATTTGTATACTTAAACATCAACAGACTTTTCTTAGAGCAGTTTTGGGGTTAGAAGACATTGAGCAGAAATACAGAGAGTTCTCATATAGCCCCTCTCAGCTCCTACTTTACTTCCTTTCAATATTGGTTACTCAAGAAAGAAATCTTAATATGGTGCTATTCTAACTTTAAAGCCTCTATGGTAGTTTACCCTGTCGGGCAGGGGGGAGAGAGAGAGAGAGAGAGAGAGAGAGAGAGAGAGAGAGAGAGACTGAGTTAGAAGAATTCAAAGGAGGAAGAGAAGAGGGAGGAAAAAGAAGAAGAGGGAGGAAGACGGGAGAAGAAGAGAGGCGAGGGGAAGGCAGAGGAGAGCGAGTACTCTGCCTGTGAGTTTTTCACTATCCACACACCAAGTTACTCTAAACCAAAAATCACTTTGTTTTCAGTGTATTTGCTTATGAAGTCTTATTCTAAGAACAATACTCATTTTCTGGGTACCACGTGGTGATAAAAAGGTTTGTTGGGAAGAGACTGGGTCACAGACAAAAAGGGGATCGAGTATCTGACAGTAAAAGCAGCATGAGACTGACCAAAGCGTGGGAAATTCAGGGCTGTGCTGGCCAAGGTCGCTCTCTTACCTGGTGGGACATGCCCTTCTGGACTTTTCAGGATTGATGAGGAACTTCTAGAGAAAAGTCCATCATTTTTGTGGGAATGAGTAAGGATCATGTGTGTGCAGGGCCTTCTTGGAAATCCCATATGTTGCTTCAACTCTTCCTTCACTGCTTTTCTTTGACCTCTCTCTCCCATCTGGTTACGTGTTCCTTTTCTTTAAAGCCCCGGTGAGAAAGAGTCAAAGGAATGCTTCCCTTGGATAAGATACCTAAGATGAAAATACCAAGTATTTTCCCTTGAACTTGATGCAATAGAAAAGGCTCACGATTTGTAAAATAGTGAGTGCCCATGCCACATCTAAAAGGTAGAGGCGTCATGCTCAGACTTTCAGGAACTTTCCTGGAGGAGCAGAACGTGTCAGTGAGGACATTTCTCTGGAATCTGCTTCCTAGATCAGGGTGCAAGGGTCTGAGTATGGCACTGATACAGCGATTGATAGAGGCAGTAGATTTGCTTTTATAGACTCTTATCATGTTGGCTCACCATTCCTCTAATTTCCTCTAGCACACTTGGGTTCACATTTGGGCTCATTTACTAGCTTTGTGACTTCGGACAAGGCACCTCATTCCTCTGAACTTGTGTGTTTATAAAATGAGAACAGTATATTACCACAGGGGTGCTTGAGGATTAAGTGATACAGTGTGTGAAATTCTTGAGCCTCGTTATTTATCAAGACACGCACTGGTATGTTACTGTAGACTACACTCCAGATTTTATCTGCCTTCCACTAGTTTTTCCACTTACGTCCTTTTTCTGCTTCAGGCTCCAATTCAGGACCCACATTGCATTTAGTTGTCACGTCTCCGTTGGTCCCCTCTGGTCTGTGCACTGTGCTGGATACCAGGCAATTAGGAACGAGTAAGAACACGCTCCCATCCTCTGGGAGTGTCCCAGCCTAAAGATCCTAAAGGTAGAGATGCGCAAGTCAAGGTTAAACAGAGGTCAACCTCATTCCCCGCCCACCTTCTAGGAGCATCACTCACTCTCTCACCTGTTTTTCTACATCACTTTGCATTTGCATTAATAGTGATTAGAGCCTCTCTCTGAAATTCCCTTAGCTTCATTTGTATATGACTTTCCTCTGATGAAGTAGTATTCATAGTCTATGCATCCCGAAGACAGGCCTGGTGCTAGCATAAAAAAGCCCTCAGTGGTTGTGGGATGAATGAGTGAAGGAATAACTACAGAATCAGTTGAGAGCAAGAAAGGCTCTGGGAAAGCGGATGTAAAATGTGTGCTGGGTGGTGACAGAAGTGGAAGGGAGGAGGAAGAAAAGCTGGGTGGATGTACTGGAACCAAGAGTGGGGGAGGTCTCAACTTGGTCTTGACCTACCTCCTCATTTTACCAGAAGTATCTTTGATTGTGCCTGTAGAAAATGACAGGGGAGTAGGACTTTCAACTTGAGACGGCAGTTGGTGATGCTAGGTGAGTGAAATGTGGACAATAAGCAGACCTTTCTTAGCATGTTAAAGGTGTGTTCACTGCAGATGTGAGAGCTAGGTAAAAGATTTTGTTATGGTTAAATAAGTTATCATCAATGGAAGGAAATGATGCAGCAAGTCTGAATGCAATTTAACCCTTACCCAAGGATATGTTTATTAATGTGTGTGTGTGTGTGTGTGTGTGTGTGTGTGTGTGTTTGTGTGTGTGTGTGAGAGATTGATGCGAGAGAAACATCGATTGGTTGTCTCCCACATGCAACCCAACTTTTTTGTGCACAGGAAGACACTCCAACCAACTGAACCATCCAGCCAGGGCCAAATGCATTTAAAAAATTTAATTATGGGAGAATTGTGCTTGGGAGCCAGGAGGCTGGGCACAGACGTGTTTGGTCAGACCTGTGCACAAGGAAGAAGGCAGGGGCCCTCAGGAAGGGCTGTGGGCTTGCTTCAGCGAACATGGGGTTGGCTGTCAAGCAGGCTGCTGACTGCAGAACAGCAATAGTCCTGAGATTGAAGCATGGCTTCAAAGAACTTTAACTAGCATTTCATTGTGGATCTTGGAGACTGATCCATCTGGGTATGAATCCTGACAACTCCACCTCCTTTGTGGTCTTGAGCAGGTCAAACTCCGAGTCTGTTTCCTTGTCTGTAAATTGACAACGCTAAGAACCCTTTAGGGATGTTGTGAGCAAGTGAGATGATGCATGTCATATATGGTACAAAGAATTGGGTTAACTGTAGTTTATGGCACAGAGTCCTAGAAGTGCAAATTGAGATGTCTTACTCTAAACCTCTCCACATGGCTCCTGCGTGAAATGAGGGCACCAGATGGATAGGATGATGTGAAGTTTGTGGACACTATTTTGTTAAGCAGCGAGAGTGACTGGTGAAATTTAAGATGAGCATGGCATCATTATATGCCCAACTACACTATTTTTCTTAAATCCTTGGTGTCAGTTTTGGGATCAGACAGCTTGGGGTCTAATACAGATTCATCTGGGGAAACTTGGGCAGGCCATTTAACTGTGATGTATCTGTTTTCTCCTCTGCAAGAAAATAGGGATAAAAGGAGTACCTCATTTATATGTAGTGGTGTCCTGGTGCTAAATCTTAACCAGCTCACAAGAGCCTTTAACGTACATCTTTTCCCAGCTCCATGTTCTGTGAGGTCATGTCGGTAGCTTGAAATCTACCAAGTATTTACACCATAGGAATTGGCAATCACTACAAACCAGGACCCCCACCCCCACCCCCTACCCACAGGATCAGTTGTTAAACATTTATCAGGACACAGCTATTTACAGAATTGTTGCAATGGTTCAATGGGGGATGGATGCAGTGGGCTTAGCATATTGCCTAGCACCTAAGTACACAAGTATTCATGTGTATAAGTACAGCTGGATATTTGTACATTCATTCAATAATTTTTGCTTTAAATCGTTACTTTTTAAAAAACATTTGTATTTAGTAGGGGACACAATATTTTAAGTCTTCCCAGCCTCTTGCTTGTCTGGGGTTCCTGCCACCCCCAGACCCACCCTTACAGTACGAGCAAAACTGTTTTTATCCTGTGACCCTGCCCTGTGGCTGGAGTCTTCTGGACTGGTCTGACGGGTCTCTTGAATGAGATACCTTGGAGTTATTCCAAGGGGCCACTTTCCAACCCGAGGACTGGGGAGTACAGAACAGCTATTAAAACAACAGGAATGATGATTCAGACGAAAAGAGAAAAGTAGAGGACAGGGGCACTCAGACATACCCTGGGCCCCGCATGCCTATTTGAAGTGACTGTCAAAGTCCTTGGCACAGAATAGGTGCTGCGTAAACCTTTGTTGAATGATTAATAGATGCTGCTTTTTGCTTAAGCTAGCGTGTGTTTGTTTCCTCTGTTCTAGATTCCAGAGAACTCTAACAAGGCACACGGACGCCATACTTTGTCGAAATCTCAGTCATCGACGGTTAGGGAGAGCTGGCTCTGCTACGTGACGTGGAAGCCTTACCGATCCTCCCACGGCAGCCCCGTGGCGGGCAGAGTTAGTATGAGGAGGAGCCCTGCTCTCTGACCTCTAAATGTCTGCGCTATCTCAGTTTTAAAAAAATACATAGGTAGTAAAATGACTTTCCAGCTTTTGTTTTCGTGGGTTTTTTTTTAAATGTAACTTATAAAAAAACTTGAGGAAGGAAATGAGAGAGAGAAAAATGACACAGGTCTAGGTAACACACTGGAAAAGAATCTTGTACCACAAACAAGGGCTTAGTCGGGAGGGGGCCCCTGTGTATTTGGAGCGCACCAGGGTGATGAGATGTTTGTTTGTTTCTAGGTCACTGTGAAGAACTCCATCTTCGGTGATCTCTGGGAAACCACCTCCATGACCTGATGATGTTTAGCTGTTCAGGGTCTCTGTTGCGAAGGTCATAACAACATTGCCTAAGGAAATGTGCTCCGAGTAAGCAGAAAGGACACCCTGGCAGGGGCGTCCAACCTTGTGGCGCCTCTGGGTCCCACCAGAAGAAGAAGAGTTGCCTTGGGCCACCCACTAAATACATTGCAACATGTAATCACAAACATATTTCATAATGTTTTAAGTAAATTTATAATTTTGTGTTGGGCCGCATTCACTGCTGTCCTGGGCTGCATGAGGCCCACAGGCTGCAGGTTGGGCACTCCTGCTGAGAATGGGAATGACACAGTCTCTGAGAGCTCAAGGCTTTTCAGAAATTTGCAGTGAGACTGCGATATGGAATTCAACCTGTAAAGCATTAGGAAAGAGGCCAGACAACATTGCAATATTTGTTGGAAATAAAAACACGGACACTTTGCTGTGGGCTTCTGGAATGCTGCAAGTGTATTTTGCCTTGGAGATCAGCTTACATTAGTTCTCGAATCTTCCCTTCTAATTTCTTAGCATCAGCTCCACAAAATTCAAAAATCTGTTCACAAATACACAAAGGTGAAATGTTTATTGGTTTAAATACTGCAAAGACGTTAAAGCGTTTAAGAGTTTTGTTCCTGCTTGTAAAATCATCCTCTGTTCATTTTCAACATCGACAAGATATTTTAAATATAAATATGCATTGGACACATTCAATTCATGATGTTTTAATTGTTTGGTACCTTTTCAAAACTGTTTATGCTAGTGTTTTCTAGTTTTATACAATTTGCCATGATATTCCCCTACATTAAAATCTAAAACATACAAAGTTGTTGAAAATGATGAAACCCAGTCACTGAAATGTCTGAACTTCTATCCATTGGTATTCAGGGCTTGCTAACTCACAGACATGAGTTCCTGAAGTCCAATGGCTTGTGACTGTCCACTCCCTGACTGTTGCCCAGGTGACAGCCTTGCAACCAATTGCTTCTAAGCAGCACATTTTCTTTTCAGAATTTCACACCTCTGAATCAGGATGCCTTTCACGGGGGGCTGGAATATTTTATTTGGGACACTTCTCAGGAGTGTATAAAATGACGGTGCATCTCTCAATGAGCATCTTATATTTGATGAAACAGGAAAGTTAAAGACCTTACTATTCACTATCCTTTTAGTATCAGTTATCTGAGGCAGTTGGAAAGAAGGAACGGTGTGGGAAAACTGAAGCTGGGACTGGCTGAAGACTTGATTCTCCAGGGAGGGAGATTTCAGCAGCCAAAACACAGTGTTTGGACTTTGGGGCGGGGGTTGGACAAGTTTAGGAGTGACTTCCCTGCTCAGTGTGCAGAAGAGAAGGAGCGATTCCCACATCGAGTGGTTCTGCTTCCCCAGCATTCAGTCTGGGTGCTGCCTGCGGGCATCACGGTTCCTTCTGTTCCTTTGAAGTAAGCCCCTGTGTTGTGACTCTGTCTCAACACAGAGTCCCATTTCACTTACCGGCTTGCCCAGGAATCCACTTCTATAGCAGCAAATTGCTCTTTGGATTCTTGAGAATAGGTTTACCTAAGTGTGGGTGCAGAATTTCATGATTTATCTGGGTTGTCTGCTTTATAGTCATCTCCTCTACAAAAAGTTCTCTTGGCCTTGGCCTTGACCACCTGGGGAGGAGGGTGTCAGCAAGGGTCTATGAGAGTCTCTCTTGCTTACGAGTCAGGTGGCAGCTGGATGGTGGCTCTAGGCATGAAGAGAGTTTCATAATCCTCTGCGGCCAGAGCGGGTACCAAGACAAGGAGTCCTGGCAAGGACATAGGCAGGGTGTGGCCACCTGAATGACTGGACTTGTCAGGGAGCAGGAAGAAGATACTAAGCTTATCTAAGTGATCAAAGTGCTAAGTACATTCCTAGGAAGCCAGGGATGATGACAAGGCAGCATGCCCCAAAGGCATGAGGAGTTGAGAGGGGAATACTTTTTAAATGACTTTTCACTTGGAGGCAGCGGGACTTCCTGGACAGCTCAGTCTGCTCTTAAAGGGGCTTCACCCTCTGTCTCTCGCCAACGCGGAGCTGGAAGGCAGGGCGGAAACCACAGTCTTATTCTGTCTTTCCCCACGGGAGCTGAAAGGCAGGTGTCCCTATGTCTGCAGTCCTTCTTGGTGGCTTCTGTTTTAGATTCCTGTCCTCTACTCCTCTGCTTCTGGAATGGCTCGACTCAAGTGAAGGAACATGGAAAGCCTAGCAGGAGAGACACACTGGCAAGGAAGGGATGGGAAGTTCCCAAGGCGTGTCTGCTCCCCACGACCACTATCGTGTGATTCTAGAGTTCTCTGGACCCCCTGTGGTGTATAGGAAGGTATTTTGTGTGTCCTTATGGGAATAACTTCAGGGATCTCATTGTGCCTGTTTATTTTAGGACCTCCCCCACCACCAAAGGGCATCGTGGAGCCAAAGAGAGTTTGGCTCCCTAAAGAAAAGCTTCTCCTCGTGTAGGAGACTGCTCCTCACACAGGGATGGCACAGGCTTGGGGGCAGGGGTGATGAGAAATAGGAGGGCAAAGTCCCGAGGTAGATTTCCAGGAAGGGGTGATTTCCATGACCATGGACTTTATGAGAGCTTATGCTGTGACACCAGGACAGCCACCAAGGGCAGCCAGAAGCCACAAGTGCGAGAAGAGCCCCAGCTACTATGGAACTGGACTCCTCTTCCCTTTAGATGCATGGAACCTTGTATGGGCACCACCAGCCACCCTGTTACTGGAGCCAGGGAACCGAGGCCACATTAAAAAAATTCATGTGCACCCAGACAACTGCACAAATCGTGAAGCATAGAGTTTGCAGGAATATTAGAAAAGAGAGCACATCCACACAACCATGTCCAGATCAAGATACCGAGCTTCACGGGTACCCAGACCCCTTCCTCCCAATCATTGCCCTGGGCCCAAAGGCAACCACTAATCTGGGTTTATCACCATCAGTTGTTCCAGTCTGTGTTTAAACTTCCATAAACGGAATTCTACAGTAGGTATTCTTCTGTATCTGATCTCTTTCATTCAACATAGTGACATTTACCTGTATAAGTGGCAGCAGATTCATCTTTCGTGTCTTAAAAAGAATTATTTTGCTGCACGACTAACACAATTTATCCAGTCAGGCCAAGAACAATAGTGCCGAGGGGGACATTCGTCCCCACATCTCGGTGGGGATATCTTTGAGGACATATGAACACTCATTCCTGTCGGGCTCTGTCGTGTCCCTGAAGGTGGGATTACGGAGGTCGGCTTCACTAGGAGACACCCAGTGGGTTTCCAAAGCGATGGCATGAGCTGGCACTCTGCCAGCAGAGCCCACGTGTTCTGGTTGCTCCGCAGGCTCGATGGCCCTTGGTTCTGCCAGTCTTTTTCATGTCAGCCACTCTGGGGGCTTCAGGTGGGATTACATTTGCCACTGAACTCGTCAGCTTTCACCTGGACTTCAGCAATGGCTTCTAATTTGTTTTTGTCTCCAGTCTTGTGCCCCTTAGATTCCTTCTAACCCTCAAAGCTACCCCCTCTGCCCCCCGTCAAAACAACGAACCAAACAAACAAAAAACACAAGTGCAGGCATGCTATCCTTCCTTGTGAAATTCTTCAATGTTTCTCCATCATCATCAAGTTCAAGTCTCTTACGTGGAGTCCTTGATTTTTGCCTTGTATACATCTATGCCACACTTGACCATAAACTTTAGCAAACTTTCCAGATAAATTCACTTAACAAATACTTCATCAGTCCCCACTAGAAGCCAGAAAACCAGACAAGATCCCCTCATGAAGTTCATATGCTAGTGATAACTTAGTCATTTCATACTATTGTGATATCATGATCGAACAATTCCTGACACACAGCCATGCTATTTTATTATATCTCTTTGTTTCTTCCCATTTTTCCCACTTGCTAGTCCTAACCCTCCTCAAGATTTAACTCATGAAGCCTGCCTCGAAGTCTTCTCAGTGATCTCACAGTCCCCTGCGCCTTCCACTACAAAGAGATGATTTTGTTATCTTTCTTCCTCGTTAGTCCGAGGACGGGAACCAAGTACCTTGTTCCTTCCTCTATGTTGTTCATTTCTAACCCAGAGCCTTGCACCTGGGTGCTCTGTGAACGGCTTTAGGCCTGAAGTGAGTTGAGTGAAGCTGATGTCTCATCACTGAAGTACGGGTCTGAGACTCTGGGTAATGCTTAGTCTCCGGCACTGGAAGGCACACACTCCTCATACTGGGACCTATGTTAGGCTCTCCCTGTCCAGTGTGCCAAAAGCAAATGTTGCATCTGTGTCTCCAGTCTAGCACGGGCGTTGCATACAGGAGCTTGATAAATGCAGTTAATGAAGGAAGAGCAGTTTACTGATAAGAGCTTATTTCTTAAGTAGCTTTTTTTTTTAAGAGAAAATGGATGCAAGGCAACTAATCCATTTGTTCTGCCTAAAATGTTTTCTCATTTTAACCTGAATGTTTGGCTGTGTCTCTCAAAGGCATCCTCTACTCCGGAGCATTGCAGAACAATTCTGACTTCTGTCTTCTCAATGTCTTCACTTCCCATGGACTGCTGGTCCTCTGCTAAGGATTGCTAATGACATTTATAAGCTCCAGGTCACTTGGGATACAGGGTGGCTGTCCATGCACAACAGAAACAGCCATGTCCAACAGTCAGGTTTTTTTAAAAAAGGTTGTTTCCTTGGACATTTTCAAATATACGCAAAAATAGGCTCATGAAGTAAACTTCCCCACTTACCTATCCAGCTACAACCAGAGGCAGTGTTTTTTTAAATCCTCCGTAAAAGTCTATTTCTGTTACCGGGAAAGTGCAAACAGGCTGGACACAGTGGTCCCTTCCTAACAGAGGGTCTTCTGAGAGTGTAAGATCAGGGGTCTGACTAATGCTGCAGTCATAGAATAATTATAAAATGTCTTGGCCAGTTGATACGCAATGCGGTTGAGTGAATACTAACGTTGTATTTGAACCAGCTGCATGAAAGCTCAAAAAAATTTTCAGACATCTGTACTGGGTCAAAAACATTTGGGTTAATAACAACAAAATCCTGAAAGCAACGGCAACAGGAACAGCACAAAAAAAAAAAAAAGAAATCTCAACCCACCAACCAACACAAGACATTTTGGGGGGATGTTCGTGTGTACAGTAGAAATGTTTGCATGTACAGTACAATCTTGTCATTTGTAATAGTATGATGCTCTTTTTCTTTAGGAAGGGTTTATTTATTAAGGCAGTAAGTCCCACAAATAAGATGGAAAGCACACGTCTAATAAGAAAATTTTAAAAGTACCTTAAGCTTCTATTGGGAGGTGGACAGTGTTAAGCCCTGTTTGTTTCTGTCTTGGCTGTTTCTCTGACCCCCACCCCAGACCCGCTCCTCCCCAGAACCATCTGCATCACGGCGCAGGTGTTTGCACACTTCCCCTCGGGCTTTCACAACACCCGGGGCAGGCCTTGCACATGTCAGCAGCCCCGCTAAGCTCTTTTGGAGTTGAGCAAAAAGCAAACCAAGAAGTCAGGCAGGGCCTCTTTGAA